CCCATTCTTCCACACAAACAGTCTTCAAATCTTGAAGGTTTCGTGGACCTCTTCTATGAACTCTGATCTTTAGTTCTTTCCATAGATTTTCTGTTGGATTCAGGTCAGGTGATTGGCTGGGCCATTCCAGCAGCTTTAGTTTCTTTCTCTGAAACCAACTGAGAGTTTCCTTGACTTTGTGTTTGGGCTCATTGTCTTGCTGAAATGTCCAGCCACCTTTCATCTTCATCATCCTGGTAGATGGAAGCAGATTTTTATCAAGAATGTCTCTGTACATTTTTCCACTCATCCTTCCTTCAATTATTTGAAGTTTGCCAGTACCATATGCTGAAAAACAGCCCCACACCATGATGTTCCCACCTCCAAACTTCACTGTTGGTATGGTGTTTTTGGGCTGATGTGCAGTGCCATTTGACCTCCAAACATGATGTGTATTCTGGCATCCAAACAGTTCGATGTTGGTCTCATCTGACCAGACTATATTCTCCCAGTATTACACAGGCTTGTTTAAATGTTGTGCAGCAAACTTTAAAGGAGCTTCAACATGCTGTTTCTTCAGCAGTGGAGTCTTGCGTGGTGAGCGTGCATTCAGGCCATGGTGGTTCAGTGCATTACTTATTGTTTTCTTTGAAACAAACGTACCTGCTAATTCCAGGTCTTTCTGAAGCTCTCCACAAGTGGTCCTTGGCTCTTGGACAACTCTTCTGATAATTCTTTTCACTCCTCTGTCAGAAATCTTGTGAGGAGCACCTGGTCGTGGTCAGTTTATGGTGAAATAATGTTCTTTCCACTTCTGAATTATGGTCCCAACAGTGCTCACTGGAACCTTCAGAAGTTTAGACATTCTTCTGTAACCGATGCCATCATTATGCTTTGCAACAATAAGGTTGTGAAGGTCTTGAGAGAGCTCTTTACTTTTACCCATCATCAGATGGTTCTTGTGTGATACCTGGCCATCATTTGGGACTGAACCAGCTGATATTAACTTGCACTGACAAGGGGCAGGCTTGCTTTCTAATTACTGAGAGAGTTCAGCTGGTGTCTTGGCTTTCCATGCCTTTTTACACCTCCCTTTCTTCATGTGTTCAATACTTTTTCCCTGTGCCATTCCACATTATTACAAATAACTTAATTTCTGGACATTTATGGTTTGATTTCTTTGTATGTATGGATCACTTGGGTTGTTACTGACATCTGGTGAAAATTTCATGTCATTAGCACCTCTAGTAATATATAACTGAGAAAAATGTTGACGTGTTCAATACTTATTTTACCCGTTGTATAGGAGTTGTAGAGGTTTCAGTTTGTAAGAAACAAAACCAGCCGATTAACAGTTTATAAGACTTTTTTCTTATTTTTCTTTCATAGACTAGTTGTGCTGCTCTGCTGCTTTGGCAGTAGCCATGGAGACGTGAAGGTACTACCTTCTCATCGGAGCCAAGAGATGCTGCAGCAGCATCCCATTGGGCCGAACCCATCCTCAGAACAGTTCTCTGCAATGAGCTAACCAGACCAAGATTTAAAACTGGAACAGCATTTCAGATTTTAGACAATTGCATCACCACTAATCTGTAAAGCTTCTGACCTGTGCTTACCCTCGCTGATGGGGTAATTACCCATGCGATGTTTTGTATTAAAATAACAATTAATTGACTGTAATTATATTTGAATCTGATGTGAACTGGATTCATGATTAGATTTTTTTCTTTTGCACAGTGCCCTGAGATGACTTTGTTGTAAATTGGCACTAAGCCTGTATAAATTAACCTGAACCAGTTTCATACCTGCCGTTACAAAGAAGCAATCATGTTTCTATTCATTCAATGCCCTCTTATGGAACTTTTGCTAAAAATTTGGGCTTTAAAAAACTGACTAATTAAAAAAAATAAGAGTAAAACGTGATGTAAACAGAAATGAATGAAATGCTGATTTGGTGTTTTTGGTTTTTGATGCAGGTAAGTCAACGTCACATCGCCACATTAAGATACTTCATGTCAACAGCATTTCCTGGGTCTTGTTTCATTTCCCCTTGTTTTGCTGCTTCCCACCCCCACCCCCCTCCCCTTCCTGGAATACGCCGGCCGGCCTAATCACAGGAACCGACCCAAGGCTAGAGGTGCATGCCTTTGCACATGGCAGCACAAATTAAAACATCTCCTGCCACCCGCCTCTCTAATTCCCTGGCACTATGCCCTGGCCAGTCCTTCAAATTACAACCCGGCCTCCATGTAGCGTAGCCAGCATGGGGCAGGCCAGCTTATTGACACAGACCCACCCCCCTCCCTGAACCCCTTAAGTCAATAAGTATCTCAGAACACACTCAACTGGCCGGCCACATGAGGGTTAACGTTCATTGTTGAAGGCAGTGGCTGAAGGACTCAAAGCAGCGTTTTTTCTTTCTCCTTTGAGCTACCATTGACTGATTTACCCTCTTTCAGATGCACTGAGCACTGTTTCAGTGAAGGTCCCTGACCTGCCCTCATTAAAACTCATTATTGTTTAAAAACTTACCAGAGAGTAATCGAAAGAAATAAAAAGTGCAGCGTTTGATTTTACAATCTCAGACTGACGGTTTCTTGGTCAGTTACATAAAAACAATTTCACAATCCAATAACCAAAAGTACAGAGTACATCACAATATTAGTGTTATAAATAAAACTGGACTGTGCTTTATTTGTTGTGAGTACTTCTCTTCATATTTTAAAATCTGTTAATCAGTGCTTTTTAAATATATTTAAGAACTTGATCTCAAAGGAGCACCACAGAAATCATGATACCTGACATACTGTATCTTGAAGAAGAATTTTTTTTCCTTCATTTACTATATAAATTGATTTTGAATCTATTTTTAATTAATGGTTCATCCATCCATCCATCCATCCATCCATCCATCCATCCATCCATCCATCCATCCAGCCATTATCTTCCACTTTATCTGAAGTCGGGTCACAGGAGCAGCAGCTTGAGAAGGGAAGTCCAGACCTCTCTTTCTCCAGCCACCTCTTCCAGCTCTTCTGGGAGGACTCCAAGGCGTTTCCAGGCCAGCAAGAGACATGGTCTCTCCAGCGTGTCCTGGGTCTTCCTCAGGGTCTCCTCCCAGTCGGACATGCCCAAAGCCCCTCCCTAGGGAGGCGTCCAGAAACCATCCTAACCAGATGCCCAAAACACCTCAACTGGCTCCTCTCGATGTGGAGGGGCAGCGGCTCTACTGAGTCTCTCCCGGATAACTGAACTTCTCACCCTATCCCTAACGGAGAGTCAAGACACCCTGCGGAGAAAACTCATTTTAACCTCTTGTTTCCGCGTTCTTGTTCTTTCGGTCACTGCCCAAAGTTCGTGACCATAGATGAGGGTGGGAATGTAGACTGATTGTAAACAGAGAGCTTTGCCTTACAGCTCAGCTCCCTCTTCACCACAACAGACTGGTACAGAGTCCATCCGTCTATCAATCTATTAACGGTTCAATGCAGCAAAATAAACAAACTTAAAAGGTAAAATTAAAATAATACTTGTTCTTTTACATAATGCAGTGTTTCCCCTACAATGACTGGGCGATTATATGCAGAATGTTGGTGCCAGAAAGCCATAGATAAATAATGTACTGATAAATAATGAAAAATTTTCAGATTCTCAGTGGAGAATCTGAAAATAATTGAGAGCCACTGATTTAAATAAACACAATCAGCGCTACACCTTAAATTCCCATTCTCAAATCCGGACAGCGATGTCTTTCCTTGTCCGAAGACACATTTTCAAGATGTATTCTGTTGTTGAAACATGATTCGGCTGCTCAGACCCGCGACCCTGTGCCAGACTTTCTGAACACACACGCTGCTTTGCGGGGATCAGGAGTCAGTGTTTGTCAGCCGCTCTGGGAGCTGTTGATGGTGTTGTTTTCAAACATCCTGCTGATACCTGGTTCTCGCCCACACGTACCCTGAATGCATATTATTAGGCCCGTGCTCAGGTAAGTGATATGTTCCTGGATAAAACGTAAACAAGCCTGAAACACCTCATGACACTGATGAGTAGTAGGGACACAGAATTAAATGCTCTGATGAATAATTTCATCGGTGGTTGTACGAGCTGCTGCTGTAACGGGAAGGACATCATCCTTTTTTATAACAGCCATCAAAACTCACCATGGCTGGTTTAAACAAGCCTAACTAGAGGCAACTTTCAAAATATGACACAAGGAGTTAAGTGGAGCACTTTGTACTGAAACATAATTAAACAATCCTAAAGCTGGGACGTTGAATCTTTATGACTTATTTCGATTGCACACTAAAATCGGTGACCTTTCTGCAACCTGTTAACTGCGCCAAGAAACCGTACATCTTAACAATGGCTACATTAACTCGGGATTGTGTTTTGCATTCCACGCAGTTCCATCACAGGCAGGGAGGGAAGTTAAGGTCAAGTGCAGCGTCAAAGGAGTGGCAGGTAAAGGGTGAGGCCATGGGCGAGTCCTTGCGTCATAAACTGGTTTTTGGCGCGTGAATTGTCACCTTTGGTGGCAGGAGCGCAGCTGGGACTTTGTGTGTCAGTTTGAGTACCAGCAGCACAGTTGGGCTCGCCTTCATGCACTGTTTAGGGTCTGGAACCCGACTCTTGGGAGAGACGGGTTGAGATGCCGGGTCCCTGTAAATGATGCACTTGGCATTGGCATTCTTTGGTGTGTTTCAACACCAAACAGCAATTCACATGACTTTCCTGGAGCTTCTGGTTGGTGCTCTAAAAGGGTTGCCAACTAAGGATCCCACCAATTCTTGATGATGACAAGGTGTGTTAAACCAAAAGCCCATGGGCCAAAAGTGGTCCACCATAACTTTTCATTGGCCCATGAAAGCTTCAAAGATGTATTATTTAATTTTAAAATAAGCAAAATGCTGCTTTAAAGCCAACATCATCCATAAACTACATCTCCCAAAATGCACGTTGATTATTTTACCCACAAAATGACAACATCCCACCACTAGGTGGAGCTGCACTGGGGTCAAAAGTAGCCAAAGAAATGTGCTGTGGAAAACCTTCGTTTTACTGCATTTTCGCCAGCTACTTTTGCTGCAGTTGTACTGGGAAGTGGGAATTTCCCACTTGCATGTCATAAATTTAAACTGGAACACCCATAGAGTGGGAAATCCCAGTTTGAAAAATGGGAGAATTCAGAATTCAAGATGGCAGCTACTCACCACAAGTCAACAGTGAGTAAAACTTGCTTTCTTTTACTTTTAATACTATTTTTGTATTATTTCCTTCACATTTAGTCAGTCATGCCCGCAGTACTGTTCAGTGTTTATAAGAAGATGTGTTAAAATACTGTTTCTCTGTAGAAAATACCACGTAGAGCTCGGTTAGCGTTTTTAACTGTGCTCATGAGACGAGGGTTGTGACGTTTTGTGTTCAGTTGAATTTAAACCCGAAACATTAAAGTTCATTACAGCTGGACCTTTAAGGGCCACCATAATGTTCATGTGGCCCTCTGTGAAAATGAGTTTGACACCCCTGCCTTAATGGATGTGACTGAGAGAAATGGCCGTCCTGGTCTGGGTCCAACTGGTGTTTTGTTACTGGACTTCTTTGCTAAGTTTACCCATAACAAAGGTTGATGACTGTCATATCATATCGTCATGGAAATTGTCAGGTTTTTTTTAACTTACAGCAGCGTTTGACAAGTTTGCAATATTTCCATACAAGCAGGCTTGCATTTATGTTTTTCTTGTTTTTTGTCTTCATGAGTGTTTTCATAAATACTACCATAATATATTCTTCTACAGTCTCATTTCATGCATTCGGTGGACTTTTGACAGTGTCCATAAGCATTAATATTATAGAGTTCCTGCTTTTTTGTGCTGTTTTGAACTGAAGCAAGCATTACCCAGTTTATGAAAGCTGCTATTCCTTTTTGGAATCAGTGTTTGCACAGCGATATGGAGTTTTATGTCTCTCCTACTCCCTTTACATATTCATGGTTTTGCATGGCCATTCTTTTAAACCGCTAATTATAACTAAACTCACACAAAAATGGATATTTGAGCACACAGCAGCCAGTTAAGAATTGTGAATCACTAAGAGTAAACACCTGGAGAAAAATGTTCTAGATGTATTTTTGTTATTTCACTAAAAGAGTAAGTTGTACCTTTTCAATGGGCCTAAAAATTGTACCAAACCCAGCCAACAGGGAAGCTGATATTTTTCTGACCAGTCCGAGGTCTACCAATATACAGACAGTCTTCAGTCATGTCTTTTGTGGCCTCTGTAGCTTTGCATGTTCAGCGTTTAGAAAGGGATTTTCTGTGGCCGTGGTCTTGCATCCCACAGGGGGCTTCGAGAGCAAATCTTGTGTGCTCCTTTAACAAGCTCAAGTGACCATAAAACTGAGGAAGAACATCTTTCAGTGGAAAACCAAACAGCCACAACTGATGGTTGTCAGTCTTGAAAACATCCCGAGGCGGCAAAAGACAGACAATATTTGTGGGCTCATGGGGAATAAGTTGTACCTTCTAAAAATTATTTTTGTTCCTAAACAATAAAAGCCCACAGAATCCCACAAACTATAGTTTCAGAATTCTGTAGGTTTTTGCATTTTGTGGAGGTATAAAGAGGAAATATGTATAGAAAGAGCATTAATTAATTTCTGTTGTTTGCCTAAATTGTATAAAATAATTGATTCAGTGTTTTTCTTCGGTGTTTATTTTGGAAGGCAGACCACATAAGTAAAAATTTGGAAAGTCTTTCCCTTAGCAGTTCAACATGAGGTCAGTGCAGCTCTGCTTTAAATGAATAATTTTACTCAGATGGGTTTTATTTTGTTTTTCATTCCCCATTTTTTGACAACGTTTAAAGCATCGTAGACCTTTGGTTTCCAAGAGTCAATAGCTTATAGCTTCAGTTATTTTTCCTCCCTTTTCTTTTGTTTTGATTTTATCCTTCAAGCTTTTTCCTCCACTTTTTTTATGTTTATAACTTTGCCCTAGAAACTTCCATGTTTACATCCTTTGTGCTTCCCAATAGCTTGTTTTTTCATGAGAGTGCCAGTGTGTGACTCTTACTATCACTGTAGAGGAAATGCCATGAGTCGCGTGTCAGTCACAGCTAACCGCAAACCCAGGCTGGGTGGAAAGGGCCATTTTTCATATAAATCATGGAACATGGCTGTGGGCAATCCATTGGCAGGCCAAGCGAACAGCCACAAATAGACACCCATTGCATGTAGTAACAGCTTTTAGCAACACAAAGACAGACTTTAGCAACTATGGCCTGTGGTGCAGCTCGAGAAAAAAAAAAAAAACAGCCTCTTATTGTTTCCAAGCGATACCGAGTTAGTCACAAGTTATTCCCAGACTGTCAGATTTCATCCATCAGAAGTGAATGCTTTAAATCCACTCCTGTCTTTTCCTCGTAGCTCCAGCCAGGGTTGCAGAAAGACAGAGACTCTCTTAATGAACCCCACTTGAGATGTCAGCGGGCCAGCACTTCAACAAAACCCTCACAGACTCTGCTCCGCCTCGCTCCATTACCCAACACTGTTTGCATCACACGGCATCAACAAAGCTCCCTGACGTGGGTATCTGGTGCTGTGATGATAGGCACCGAAATGATGTCGGGAAGAGGCAGCGGGGTCTTCTCTAGCCACCGGTACAAAGGAGCAAAGACTGATGTGGAATGCAGCTAACCTGGAAGCTGTGGGGCTAATCAGTTCCAGCGATGCGCACGTTACAAAGAGGAGAGCGGCTTTGCTGTCGGAACGTGAAACGATAAAGAGAGAGATGGCGACAGGGAGAGATTCACATCAGCATGCGTGTGTCGTGGCTGCCGGGTGTCTTCTCAGAGCTGCACGAGAGGTCAAGCTGGGACACAGATCCCACCCCCGTGTTGGTCGGCCTCTTTTAAACTCATCCAACAGCTGAACTACATCTGGTTCTCTTTTACTTAAGCTCTCCGGGTCTTTCTGTCTCTGCCTGAAAACTGCCGTTTCACAGCGAGGTTTGTTGGCTCCGTGAGTCCGTGTCGTGCAACGCCGCGTCATGTTAGAGGGGTTCTGCAAGGCTCGGGTTAAGTGTGGCACCTTTTCCACGGGTCAACACAGTGGCAGCTTTATGCGCAGGGTAATTTGGGCATACCGGGAGGGCAGTCAGGCCAAACTGAGAATTACTTGACCTCATTAAAGAGACATTAAGAGTAACCAGAAAAGCCCTTCAGTCGACCAAAGAGAGCCCAGTGTTCATCGGAAGAAGACTTGGGCAAACCCAAGTGATATTTAAAAGGGTCAAATGAGGAAATATCCTCTTTTTTGTTGATTATTGAGAACATGTTTGTAAAGTTGCTGCCAACACACAGACTCATAAATAACTCCACTTTTTAGATTTGAAAAGTCCTTAAGTGATTTGAAGGGGACTGGTGTGTGTTTGTGTGTGACAGAGCCAGCTAAGAGTAAAATTAACCAGCCTCCTCATCTTTAACTCCACCCAGCTGTAACTTCAAATTATGCTGCATTTACTGTACCTCGGATGTGGGAAGTCTGGACTCTTTTACGGTTACTTTTGCTTTGCTATAAACAAACTTTAATCACGCCGCAGAGCAGCTCTTAATCCATCCATCCATCAGTTCATCACAGGGCCACACAGAGACAGTCATTCACTCTCACACTCAGGGATTACTCACAATCACCAGTTAACCTAACATGCTTGTTGTTGGACTGTGGCTGGAAACCAGAGAACCTGAAGAAAGCTTGCGCACACACACGAGAAGAAGATGCAAACATCATGCAGAAAATTCCCAGGACCTAATTCTCTGCAAGGCAACAGCACAAAACTTGCTCATAACTTGCTTTGCAGTTCTAGTTGGGATCATTTTTATAAGCATATTGTTAATAAATTTTTATTTAAAGTTTGTACATTTCTTTGCTTGCGTATTGGCTATGTACTTTTGAAAAACAGGAAAATTTTTAATACACAAAGTACTTTTTTCACCTCTAAGTTTGCAGGTGAGAAATAAAGATCTTATACTAAATCTTAACATACTTGAAGCCACACTAATACTTACTTGAAGTACTTCAAATTTGATATTTTTTAACTTAAAGCATGCTAATATGGAACAACTAATTTTGTACTAATTATATTTTAGCTGTAATTAAATTGTAAAAAAAATTACAATTTGAAGTGTATTAAGTGTACTATTATGTGCTTTTGATACTACTATATCAAAAGTATAATGCTTGTTAATTTGAAATACATTAAAAGTCAAATTTAGCAATTCCTTTACAAAAATGGTGCACTTCATTTTTGTAAAGCATGTTATTAGTACATATAAAGCTGTATATTTAGTGTACAAAGTGTACTTAAAGTTGTTCCACTTTAGCACATTATAGTATACTTAATACACTTAAAATTGTGATTTTGTACAATTTAAAATACAACTAAAATATATTTAGTATAAAATTAGTGGTTCCAAAATAGCATGCTTTAAGTATACTAATGATTAGTGTGGCTTCAAGTATACTAAAGTATACTAAGATTTGGTATACTTGGTATAATTATTTTTCAACAGGGCAGCCACATCACACAATGTTACAATGTACCTTTATTATGTTGCATCACATTTGACTTTTTTATTTTTCATTTAGCCACCAAGTACAAATACTATTTTAAACAAGCTCAAATGTATTTTTTTAAAATAGAATCATTATCAAAGAGAAATGATGGTTGGGTGATTTTTGACTCAAAGAAACCCTGGTTCCTCTGAAGATCCTGACACTTCATTAGCTACATGTCCCCTTGCTTTTTGTCTTTTGGGCCTAAAGTCTCAGTGAGACTTATTTGTGTCACAGCAGAGCCCAGAGGAACCACCTCGAGCGCACAAACTCTCCCCGGCACGTTCAGGCTTGTATGGGATCCGGTAAAGATAAGAGTGACAAAGCAGGCTACATTATGAGTTGTAAAAGGTTTGCGTTTTTCCTTGTTTACATTTTTTGAACGCATCATGTGTGATGTGGAACTAGCTTTTTTTTCTTTCTTTCTTTTTCCAAACTTGGCTAACGCAGTGACATGTGACCGCTAACTCAGAAAAGAAACAAAGGTCATAAACCAACCAGAAAGATGAGATCAAAGCTACACTTCACAGAAAGAGAAAACGATTTATGATCTGACATTATTGTGAGAATGATTATTCTGCATTCACACAATTGTTTTCTTCTTTTTCATAC